CATACTTTTATTCAATACCTAATATGCAATATAAAAATACTATTTTATAGTATTTTTTGATATGTTTTAATTTACCTTTTTCTTTCCCTTGCCAGTTTTAGGTAATTCAGTCCACATTTCTCGTACATTTTCTAACACCATATTACAATGTCGATCAAAAGCTTTGATTCTTGCCAAAAGCTTTCTATTATTACGACAATTAATCAACACTTGAGTATTGTTACGAACAGATTGAGTCAGGACAGACATGGGACCTGTAGTAAATTCTTCTTCTTCGCGTTTTGCCAACTCTTCAGGAGTCATTTCAGATTTTGGTTTATTTGCTACTGCAGCCCTACATGAATAATAATATTAAAAAAACCATAATATATTAATAGATAAATTACAATATTGAATGCCAATTTAAAATCAAAAATATAACTAATAAAATACAATTAACATTTAATCTAGCAATTAAAATAATATACTTAAATCGTGAAATAAAATTGTATTTACAAATATCTGCATCTAAGATAAATTCACATTATTATTTACTTACATTGTGAAGAATTTGTGTCACGGGAAATAGCTCAATAAAATAATTTGAATTTTAAAGAATAAATATTTAAGAAAATAATAAAAAATATTATAAAGAAGAAAAAATGTATAGTTTGTAAACAATTCGAAAAACCGAAACTCGACAATCAAAATGTCGACAGATACCGTATTTGTATAGTTTAATAGAAGCTAACCTCAAATAATAATCTTAAAGTTATGTTTATACCTTTATTATCTATGGTATAAGCATAACCAATGGAAAAATATTCAATTCAGGTATCAGTTACAAGTTTGCAACCATATTTATACTTTAAGTATAATACTTAAAGATAGTTTTTTGATAAAATATAACCACTTCTAATCGTAAATTTATCTTTGGTAATGTACTGATGTTTATATTCTATAATAGAGGACCGGCAAAATTATTTGTCTAAACCTCGATATAAAGATAAACCAAGTATCGATATAGCGATATATCGTTATGAAAATATCGATATATCGAGTAATAATATTCATAAAAATATTTTGTAAAAATATATGATGCTTACTACTTAGAACACTTAAGTACTTAGTATATACACTTGTATTTAGAAATAAGTTAGTTATTTTTTGACATCAGTGATGTACTGATGTCACTAATCAGTAATTATTTTTATAATTTTGTAATATATTTTATTATTTTAATATTTATGGCGTTTATGAATGTGGAAATGTGGAATGTGCCATTGCTCCCAAGTATTCGATCCTGATGCCACTAATTTGAACTTTTGTATGCTTGGCGTACTCCATAACCTCATTACATAGTATACTTAATAGTAATTAAGTAGTACTAGTAATAGTATAAATGTATAATACTATAATACAAGACTTCTACAATTGTACCATAGTCCATAAGTTTGTTTGCAAAGCTGTAGGTATTAAGGACGTCTGTCCTATTATGCTATTATTTTATATTCTGAATTTCTTATTGGTCGTTGTAATTTTGATATCATTTACTAACCATGATTTACCAGGAAATTTCCGGAAGTAAGCCGAGCTTAACTTTTGGAGTTTTGGACTTTGTACGGTGCACGTAGCTGCAACTCCGACTTAGGTTACGAAAAGTGAAATAAATGAATTTACTTACTGTTTCAGCATGGGGAAAACTGTCACTGAAAATAACCACTGTCAAGTATATTAGGATTTAGAGTATCCTGTGATATATTCAGTAGAGTTAAAAAAAAATGAGTGATAGGTATGCGCTTTTTTGTGGTTATTTTTTTTTTTTTTTTTTTTTGTTTGGATGTGACATTGGTCAAAACTTTATTCTTAAGACAAAAAAAAATATTTCACAAAAAATAAATATTTTCTCCAAAATTGTATTACGCAATTTAAGAATAAATAAATAATATAAACTTATAGTTAAAGGAAGACGGAGGTTATTTTTGAATATTTCTTGGGATAAAGTAAGGCATGTATGATCGTGAGAAATTAAAAAGTGTACAAGACGTATATTATGTAAGTTGCCTATAGGTTAAGTGACCAACAATAATCTCAATATGAGTATTCACTCGAAATTTAGTTATTCCGTATGTATACACCTTAATATAGGTACTTTATTAATTAATGTAGCATAAACTTCTTAAATGGTACCTAATGGAAAACTTTAGAAATAATTAAAATCATAGGTATACTATTCTTTTAATAACAATAACAAAAATGATAAAACAAAATTTGTCTATTTACCATTTCGTGTTTATTTTTAGTCTTTATAGATACCGTATTTTACTTTTTGATACACACAAGTATATTTACAATGCGTTATGTGATTCATATTACACATGTACAGTTCACGCATATAATTATCTTTTGATTATTTTGCTACCACCTTCCAGCCAACGTTAAACACTTACACTTTTTAACATCAGCTACAGACTACATTCAATACTTAATTTTTATTTGAAAATAGATTCAACTCATTGGTTCATTAGGTGCCTTATAAATCTGGCGCCACGGGCAGCTGCCCCTTATTGCCCCGTGTGTAAATTCGACCAAATTCGTATTCTTCCCTTTTCGGCTAAAACAAAATTGTATGTAATATATGTAAAAAAATAAAATAATTGATATTTAATGTTCGTAAAATTAAGGAAATTATATAACTTTGAAAATTATTAAAAGTATAAAATGCATAAAATGTTGTAAAATAAAATGTGAAAAATTATTTAAAATATAAGAATATCTATATATTAACAATATTTTTATGTTAATATGTCACAATCCAACTCATATAGTTTAGATTTTATTTTTTTTAAATAATATAGTGACATACAAGTATATTAGGTAACATAAAAATAATGTTAATAAATAGATATTCTTATATTTTAAAAAATTTTCTACATTTTATTTTACTATATTTTATGCATTTTATACTTTTAATCATTTTCAAAGTTATATAATTATATAATTCCTCTAATTTTACAAAAATTATATACCAATTATTTTATTTTATACATATATTATATAAAATTTTGTTTTCTTCGAAAAGTGAATCGGCCGAAAAGGAAAAAGTACGTTTTTGGTCGAAAACGACCATGCCCCCGTCAGGTTATAGAAATATTAATTGTACATACCTATTATCATTTAAAATCATGATATTATTATGTATGTAAAACTTAATGAAAATGTAAATAAAAATAATTTTAAGATAAAAATTAACATTTATTGAAAAAAAGTTATTTTACATTCTTTAAGACCATGATGCATAGTAATTTCGTGTATCATTTTCTAATTCGACTGAATTGAAGAATAGTTAAATGTTCTGTTTATCGATAGAAGAAATGTATTTGCACACACCTTTCACTGTTGTCAGTGCCTTTCGTAGACTCCCTATTTTTGGAGTTAGATCCTTTTCTTGATCTTAGGTCTCATATTTTTCTTCGCCGCTTTCTAGTTTCTACCTTGTTTGGTATAGACATCGTTAATATCGGTATCGTAAGTCTCTACACAATCATCTAGTGTTATGTATTTATTCACTATAATATTATTGTTAATCAATTTAATGAGATTGCCATTGCCAAGTTCTTCAGTTGGTCAATAACATTAATAACGTTAGATAATACCATGGTTCTTAAAGCCAGACCAAAAAAACATTTCTTCACTGTTTTAGGTTGAACGTTTTTCGTAGTTAAAGACACCCAATAAATTGCATTCAATGATTTACAATAAAAATTGTCAAAATCAAAAATTAAATTGCCATAAAAGTGTCCGTTATTTAGAAGTCCGGTATTAATAGATGTCCGTTAAGAAAGGTTTCACTGTATAATTATATTATGCATTTAAATTTAAAAAAATGAACTGATAGCTGAAATTAAGGTCTCGCTCGGTCCAGAGAACAATATTTTTGGAAAAACACAGCGTAAATAACTTACCTAGTCCATATTAATTACATAGGTACTCATTAATAATAAGAAAAAAAAGAAAGAGTAAATAATATCATTATTAATGCAACATCGTTACATATTTTTTGTGTTTTGTTAATTTCTTTATCGTTTAGAAACGTCAGCGCGACTTTGCGAATGTAAATCATCGTTTTCTCTCTTAGTTAAGCTGAGTTCATAGCTATACGTCGTCTATCGTGTCGTATCCAAAAGTTGAGTTTAGCCCAACTCATGATAGATATGTATGATTACACGTTTACAACGGCCAATCAAAATACGATACAAGGAAAACGACACAATAGACGACTTAAAGCTTCAAAAATCAAAGGTGTATGTTTCTAGTAAAAAAATAGTAATTCCGTGTCCATGTAACTAATTTCTATCAATGTTATTGATACTATAGGCAACCTTTAGCAAGGTGTAGAGGACACACAATCCATATATTATAGTTATTAATATGTCCTTGATACAGGTAAAATTTAAATGGTGTGGGGAGGAGGGCGATAAAATGTAACGGTATTTTACGATAAGGTGTGAGGAGCTAAAGCGGCGGTGACCTGATATTGCGCTCACATATTGTTATAGCCATGCAGCTTAAAGTTTATACTCGCTCAGCACAGAGCGCGCCCGTATTTTAAGGGACGGTGGTAGTGTCGAGCAGGCGCGCTCGACAACGATTTTCCACACTCGTGGATAGGGAGACGGTGGTGCAAGCCAACAAATACACACACACACACACATACACTTTTACGTGAAAGTACACTACACTCCACTGCAACATCATTCCACCCAACTTTATATAGCGCTAGTGTGTCCACCTACATTATATTACTATACCAACACTGCTACCGCAATATCCGGTGTTGGCGCGGTGATCGTTGTACGGGATCCACACGGTCCGTTGCATATTTAACGTCGTTCGTGTTGAACATGTTGCTGCTGCTGCGGCGAATGGCAGAATAATCAAATACCCGCAGTGTATAGCGAGTTGTTCCGACCGGAAGATCGCGATATCGCCACCACCGCAGACTTCCACAGAATCGGCGAATGGCACCCAGGGACAACCAGGAGCTAGTGCCGCTTACCGACGGTAGCGGCCGCCCAAACGACGATGATGAACTGGAAAGCCAAAGACCGCAGAAGAGATCGACCGCTACGTGTCAAGACGACAACGGTAGTGGTGGCGGCGGCAAGGGACCGATAAACAGAACGCCGATAAACGACATGAAGACGTCAATGCTCGCTTGTAAGCAGGTCATAGGACTCGGCACGCTCTGGAGATTTCCCTACGTGTGCCTCAAGTACGGTGGTGGTAAGTTATCCTGTCTTCGTTCTTATAAAATAATATATTATGCGTATTACAAACTTATAGTAGGTACTCAAAAGATACTATTACACCCGCGTGCGTTCTCCCGTTAGATAAACACACTTCATATTTTTATCTTTAAATTTTATGACAATGTGATCATTGTTTCTAATATTAAATAAATTAATAATATCAGTTATGCTGAACGAAAATTTAGTATCATATATTATGTGCAGCAGTGTTTGTAAGACGTAAACCACAAATAGGGATGTGATGTACAAGTGCTAATTCATGATAAAATATTTAATAACATATAGGCAATAGGCATAATATATAGTCTAATCTCTAATATTTACACGATGACGTGTTTCTTCACGAATATGGACATTTGGTAATGTGATAATATTTTTCATTTATTTTTTTTTATATTTCTTTTACGTGATAATAAATAAAAAATAAAATAGTACATTAACTTGATCGACTTAAGTTTGGAAATAATTCAGATTATTTATTGTAAAATTGAATTATAATAATTATCATCGGATTAACAATGAAAAGAATATAAAATATTAAGTACCTATCTAACTAAAATACTATTGGTACACAATATATGACTCTTAACGAATGTCACTTCTTGATTTATGAACAAAAAAAAACCCAGTTAACACACAAAAACTTTATTTTTTTTAATAAAGCTTACAAAAATATAAAATTTACCTATTATAACCTAGAAAAATTATATTCATGTATATCTATTACTTTTTGGTAGGTAATATATTGTTTTATTAAAGTAAAATATAACTGAACTTTTTAATTGTAAGACTAAAAAAAATTTTAATTATTTTATTTTTTATTTAATAAAATAGTACAGGTAAACATTAATAAGTTTATATTTCTTATTAATTGTTAAGTGTTATTTATATTTTCATTTTATATGATATTAGTTCAACAAATTAACTAGATCATACTATATATTATAGAGGTGGATGATTTGGGCACCATATATTTTTATTTAACCATAAATCTATGCAAGCCTTATGGTATATACATAAACACTGAAGTCGAGCTATTCTTTGTCCAGATTCCATATTTTCCAGACAAATTGCACATTCAACATCTCTATCTATATTTGCCACGTCTTCGTTGTACATCTTAGTTCGCAATTCAGACATATTTAAACATTGTTCTACATGTCTGTAGAACAAATAAACATTTATGCCAAATCAAAATAAAGGTTGTTAACATAATGTGTTGTATACATTTTTATATTATTAAAACTAATTATTGATACACCCGCACGTGTTGTTATAGTCTTACAAACATAAAACATAGCAAATTTACGTTCAATAGAATCTTTGTTACCTTAAATAGTACGGTGAATTGACCTATTATCAAAGTTAAAAGTAAGAATATTGAGAACATTATCTGTATCCAAGCATTAGATTTTATCGATATTTTAATTTTTAAGCTAGATATGAGTATTTTAAATTTTTAACACTTATAAATTATAAATTATAATACTCATATTTTGCTTAAAAATTAAAATATCGAAAAGGTAAACACTGAAGCACAGATAAAATGTTCTTGCCTTTAATATTTGTAATAGGACAGTTAACTCTAATATTAAAGCTAACAACATAACATCGGTTTTACTAAATTATATATTTGTTAGACATGTCCAAGTATGTGTCCTCTTAAAAACATTTTAAGCGCATATGATTGTATATACCGACGTATCGTGTATAAATATCGAATAATTTAATATTGAAAAAGATTAGAATAGTAGAGACTCTGTATAGTAAGCTATAGTACTACACTAATGTGTTGCATATATATACAAATATTACAATTATAAAAATTAAAATAAAGTATATAATACATAATAATATATTATAGTATCTATATATAGTACATAGTACACTACAGAGGCCGGGATTGATGTTGAACACTCGTTTTCTTTTACTTTTTATAATTTCGAATAGTAGTATGTTTACTATATAGTATATACGTACATGAAAGCAGTCATTACCTATAAAAAAATTTTAAGTTATACATGTATAATTAAAATTTGTATACTTAACAGTAAAAATAAAAAAAATTGCAAATTTAAATTTATTTTATAAAACTTCAACTTAGTACTGAAATGTTCACATAATTGATATAAACTGAAATAACAAAAAATATCTTTGATTTTTTTTTTAATTTGCTGCAAACTTACTAGGTTATCGACTTTGTTAACTATAAAAGCACATATACATTGTTTAATGTTCCCACACTAATAGTTTGTAATTAATAGAGATGGATAGATTATAAATTAGGGATTAAGTTAGATTGTTAGAATAACTCTTAGTTTACTGTAAAATATAATTCTGGTATATCCACGGTCAGTTATAATTTTTATTATTAGGTACTGTAGTTATATCAATAATATGTTGATGATTATAAAAAATGTAATTGATATTTGTTTGTTTGGGGCTCTATCATCAAGGGTCGTATCATGTATTATTGACTTAATACTTTGTTTGATTCATATAAAATTAATTAAATTAAATTTTTAAAAATAATAATTACAGATAATAGAAACGTTACGTATTTTAATCCCTAAATGTTATTCTCTAATTTTTATATTATTTTGTATTTTATTTGTTACTTATATAATAATACTATTCAATAGATAATAGTAATCACTAAATTTTAAATGACTTTTTTAGTGCGCTAAATTCATAAAATTAAATATTTTATAATATTCAAATAATTTTATATAGTATAACTGATATTCTACTAAGAAGTTTTTGTGCAATGAATAACTATAAAGTTAGGAAAACCCAATAGTTTTTTACTTATTTGTGATATTTATTAATAATAGATTAACAATCGATTTACTTTAACTTATAACTTTGATGTTTTAGATAAATAACAACTTCTTTTATTATCATAAAATAATGTTTAAATATATTTAATATTAGTATATCGTCATATTTTATTTTTAACATGTAAATTTTATCAATTAAGTAACAACTAATCAACATTTTATACTATAATCACTGATTAAATATACAATATTTAATCAATTTCAAATATCAAATGCCTATAATTATTTACATACCTACTTTATAAGTTGTTATAGTAATTATTATTTATTAGTTCTTTAGATATGATTAAAATTATATAGGTATATTATATTTTATTTCTTTCGTAGCTACAGTTTTTGCGTGATAGGTACGTTAGAATTTAATTTAAATTTAACACGCACAACTTCATTGATTTTCAAATATCTAGAACCTACATCTATAAGTTAAAGAGGTTATTATAGTTTGTTTATTCTGAATATTTTTAAATAAAATAATTATTATTATAATTAAATTTTGCTAACAAGAAAATATTTAAATATCTAATTTTTATTTTATATTACAAAGAATATCGAAATATGTGTGCTAAAATATAAATAGCTAGGTACCTTTAATAATACCAATGTATAATACATATTACATTTTATATATCTTGTTAGCTATTAATAATCTTATACACTTACATACTGATATATAGTTTAATTAATTTAAAATATTATGTTAATTAATTTTCTCCTATGAAATAGTTTATATTTATTTTTAAAATAGTAATAACATACAAAATTGTATGTTTTAAAATAGTATACAAGATGATTATTTTATCAAATAAAACTCAATATTTAAAATCTATTAATATTTTTTAAAAAAATGTTGCTTATATACTAATATTTTCAGTAATAAACAATTTTTTTTCTTAAATATTCTGATTATCATAAGTCATATTATGCTTTTAATTCAATTTTCTGAAGCTTAACATTTTTTGTAGTATTTAGATACATCAAAATTGAAATTTGGAGTTAAGTTTATGAGCTATAAGTATTTAAAGCTTAGATAAGTAAAGTGGAGTGGTATATATATACTCAGTTAAATGTTAGTCTACTACTCTGATTACTTAAACTTTAAAAACTAATAACTTATAAGTTACCTGTACGAATTTCAATTTATATGTATAAATACCAAAATATTCCAAAAATTTTTATTAAAATTTACTTTAGAAGCTGAAATTGAAAACGTATATTGTCATTCAAAATAATAAAAATCTTAAAAAGTTAAAACAATAAAAATAGATTTTTATTGTGAAAAATAATATTTAATTTCAAATGGAAATTATATAAGAAATTTTTAAATAATGAGTGTTGTTCAATAAAAGAATCACCAAGCACAGCTATTAAATGGATATATTGATATAAAGTATATTTTTAAATTCAGATTATTAGATATATACTTAAAACCGAAAAATTTATATAGTTTATTTTGTATTAAATTATTTATTGACTCTAGTAATAAAAATTGAAAATTGCATAACAATAAAATCAATAATATTCTTTGATTAACACTAACATCTCATTATAATCACTTTATTTTGAAAAGTAAATCACGAAATGCATTTGAATGAATGTTTTGTAATTTATTACTTTTTGCTATTTTTTTGTTTCATATTCATATAAGACATAGGTGTATAATTAAAAATATCGAACGATTATTTCTCTAAAATACCAATTGGACCAAATTTTCAATCTATATAGATAGATCAGGAAGTTCTAAGTGAAACTTTTGAAGTACTTGTTTTTTCTAGTTATTAATAACAACTTTTCCTAAAGAATAAAATAATTTAAAATTTTTAAATATATATTAACTTACATGTTAAAATGATACAATGAACTATTTGAAATGATTTTCTGACATATTGGACAATTTTCTTTTCGGCGCTTTTTACAGATTTTAAGTTTACGATATAAATACATAAACCATTTTTTACTTGGATTATTGCTTCTTCTTTGATTCATTTGGGTTTCTAAAATTTTGTTTATTATTTTAATGATAATTTAAATGTTTCTATAAAAACTAGTAACTATGAAAATACATTTTTTAATTATATATTATGATAAGATATAAAAAACTGTAAAAATATATTGTTGATAATCACAATTTAAATAAATATTGATAGGAATTAAGAAATATTAAGTAATTTGTTTTTACTTTACTAGTAATTTATAATAAAAAAATATCGTTCAAAAACAAAATAGAATTTTAATTATGATTTTATTATTACATTAATTTTTAATTTCAGGTACTTTTTTAATACCATACATGGTTATTATGTGCTTAGTGGGTTATCCATTACTTGTTATGGAAATTGGAATCGGTCAAAAATTGAGACATAATAGCATAACAATATGGACAACAATTAATCCTCAATTAGGAGGCATTGGCATGGTTATGTGCCTAGTAAATATCGCTATGTCTTGCTATTATGGAACTATCATAACTTGGGGAACTAAATACATGGTTGACATGAATAAGGTAACTATTAATATTCTTAAGTTCTGAATATATCTAATATGCATCTTAAAAGTTATTTTATTAAATATAGAGTAAAACTGTAATTACTTCTTATTATTTTTAAATGTATATACAAAACTATAAAATATCATCACTTTATAAAGAATTGTAGTACTTTTTAATTTTAAATATAACTATTTTACCTACTTATTATTTTATTTTAGTTTCCAGAACTGTGGCCTCCACATGGACAACCATCTATTGATCCCAAAAGATCTCAGTCATTTTGGCATAAAACTGTATTAAACGTAACAAGTTCTATGGATGAAACTAGTGAGATACAAGCGGTACAAGCATTTTCATTGTTTTTCACGTGGTTCTTTTTAGCTATAATGCTGGCAGCAGCTTGGATTACATTTAAAAACAAGTATATTCAAGTATGTATTATTTTAATATTATTTAGAATAGAGTATAATTTTTATTTAATATTATGGTATTTATTATTGTTTCAGGCATTTATTAATTTTTCGAATTCAATATTTCAAAGTTTACCGTTTTATATTCAAATTATAATATATGCAATCCCGCCAATTTTATTAGTTGTTGTATACATTGTAGAATCAGGTTATGGATATATTAGCTTCTTGTATATCACGTCTATAGAGGTAATTAGTTTTTAAATTTATTTTGGATATTCAAAATAATATAATGATGTACAGTATATCATTATGTATAGGTATTTATAAGAAATTATAGTATCTTCTTCATTATTTTACAGTTAAAAGACTTGTTGGTTTTCCCGATCTGGGTTGATGCTGTTATCCAAGTATTTTGTTCTTTGGGATTAGTACATGGTTCATGGACGTCTTTCGGTTCATCTTCTAAACGTAAAAGCAATTTTCTGTTGACTGCCACTGTGGTGGTATCTTTCAGTTTCATTTTAGTATTTGTGTGGACTTGGTTTATAGTTTCCACAATAATACCAAATGTATTACAGGACATTAAAAATTGCGTTATCGGGTAAAATCAAACTACAATATGATAATATTGTGAATTGAAAACAAAACACGTTTATTTATATTCATTTTAATTTTTTAATTGTTTTGATTTCAAATTATCAAGTTTTTAAAGCAATTATAAAAACTTTTCACTATTTAATCTTAGTGTTCATGATTTTTAGATCAGCTTATAAATGGGATAATTCTAAAGATATGCCTGCACACGTATTTTATAGCAATAATTATGATGCACTAATTGCTAGTCGAAAATTAGACGACACATTAATGAGTTTTGATGTTCAAGAATGTAACATGGAAAATCAATTCAAATTGGTAATATATTTGAGATATATAACTGATTATTATAAAAAAATGCATGGTTTGCATAATGTAATAGATTTCGAGGTTTTATGAATAAAGATATAATTCCTATATATAAGATTTTACTACAATTAAATCTATTTCAATAATTTATATTATATCAATATTATTTCTGTTTCATATTTTATATTGAAAACCTAAATATTTGTGTGAGGGGTATTACCAGTGGGTGACTTACCCTATCATGTTATGATAATTTCTAATTGTTATCATAATGACTTATTGTACAGATTATGTGTATAGATTGTCTTTTTCTTAATAAAAAAAAAAAAATAAATAAAAATATTTTATATGAAGAAAGTCAAAAGAGTTATGTTACTATAATTTAATAAATTACAATACTATAAGTACTATATTAGTTAAAATTTAAAAATATTTTACAGGCAAGTAATGGTATTGGCCTAATTTTTATAGCTCTCGGAGAGTTTACTACAACTTTTTCGTTTGAAAAAATTACTGGCTTTAATCAAACTAAATTTGTCATTAATATTCCACAAATATTACTTCTCATGATTAGTACAGCATGGTTATTACGTTTATTGAACTGGTTTGTCTGGGCACTTACTGAAGTAAAATGTTTGAAAAAATTGTCTAAATTTTGTATTTCAAGTAAGTTTTCAATATTTAATATAATCTATTATTTAAATTTTTATCATTGATGTATGACATAAGATTATATTATTACTCTGGCAGTAACAAAATAAATAAAATATTTAAATTTAAAATATTTAATATAGGCATACTTTGTACAATATGTTGTGTCTGTGGATTGGTATTTACGACTAGAACGGGTGTATATTGGCTTTCATTATACAATGAAGTTTTTATCAACCCGTGTTTGACGGTATTAGCTCTTTGTGAGGTTTTAATTATTGTATTCATTTATGGATATAAACAGTAAGTGCTATATAATATAATAATATTTTAGTTCCTGTGAATTAATAATGTATTATTTATAATTTAATTATTAGATTCTTACTTGATATATATGATATGACTGGACATACAATTGGTCGTTTATCCATATTCATTTGGAGACATATTACTCCAATGTTACTGATATTAACATTTTCATCTATCTTGACAGTTGGTATTTTAGATGGCTTCAGATATGAAGTTTGGACACATAGGAGTGTAAGTAAAAATATTCAAATTACTGTAATTTAAGCCATACACATTTAAAATGAATTTGAATTTTCAAATAAAAAAAACTTGTATTTTCAATTTGTTATAAAAAAAAAAACTATTATTTCTAAGACCTTTGAATATTGATCAACAAAAATTTTCATAAACATATACTTGCATAATAATTTATTCTTTGAACAATAAAAAGTATTTAAATATTTAATTATTTCACATAAGTATATGATACAGTCGTTATTCGTTAATTCGAACCTCGATAATTCGAAAAACTCCATAAATCGAACTAAACACTAAGTCCCCTGAGAAAACCTCTATAATTAGAAGAAAATGCATGTATTCCGGTCCCCTCGATAATTCGAAATGTCTGACGGTGGGACACACTCTACAATTTGAATTTTTATTCCATAAACCTCTATAATTCGAATTTCCTTAAACGTTATTATATGTAAGTTCATATGTATGTACAATGTACATACATATGAAGATAACGTACAATTTATTTGACATAATCGTAATGAAACTTATAAGTTATAACGTTGGTGGTTTAATATTATCGTAGTTGATAAACGTTATCGTACCTTATCTACCTAATCTAAACTTTTGTCAGGATTACGTAAATTTGTTGAGTAATCTGAAATGAACGAAAAAAGATGCGATACAATTTTCAATGCTATCAATAAGTTAGACAACGCTATGAACCAAATTGTGGCCACTGGCCTGCAATTTATCACAAAAAAAATAACAGATTTCTTTAATATGTAAAATATAATAATATAATAAATAAATATAAATTAATAATTATAAAATATAATAATATGTATGTATGTATATTTTGTATAATAAATAGATGTCAAAATAAATGTAATATGTACATACATACAATAATTTTTCACCTTTCTTTAATTCGAATTAATTATTGTCCCTCAATTATCCAAACACTCGGTAAATCGAAAACCTCTATAAATCGAATTTTTAACTTGGTCCTCTGAATTTCGAATTATCGAGTGACTACTGTATATAAACTATAATATAAATATATTTTTTTTTTACTGTAAAATACTAAATTGTAGATAGTCATCTATTATTTTATACGCAATAATATTTACAAGCGTCATAAATAAGTTTATTATTATTTAAAATAGTTATCAGTGAAAATTAAAATCATTAAAATTTAAAAAAAATAGAGAATAATAAATTGCTTAAATTTTAGAGACTTATAATTAAAGTATGATATATCAAATTTACAATTTAATTGAGCTTAGTGTAAGGTTAAATAAATATTTAAATCTTTTATAGTACACACCGCTATAAATTACACATTAAAAATAAAGTGAATTAGTAAGTTACAGTTCCAGTTTACAATAGGTGTAGATTGTATTTTTTCATTGAGTATGTAACTGTAATAAATTTATTTTTTTTGAATTCAATGATAAATCATTTTATACCAAAGACAATTCTGAGCGAAGACAGTATAATACTTAGTATGTCAACTTATTATTATAAATTAATTTTATTATTATATTAATACAATAAGTTAAATTAATTTTTGTTAAAAACATTGCATTTATTACACTCATAACTATTATAATTTAAAATAGTATAATATATTATAATAATATATTATATTAAATGTGTATATTATTGATATTAATTTTATTCTGACTTACCATAAAATGGTGTGAAAAGGTTTCTTGTATAAATGTAAATTATATTCTAACTTAATTTCTCATAAAAATATATTGTGAAATTGTGAATTAATCTTTTTTTTTTTTTTTAATGTCTAGTAAATAAACTTATTAAATAACTTGTAACAAATTTTCAAACTTAAGGTGATGAATTAATATCTTTTATAATTTTTATAATTCAAAATAATTTCCAAATTTTCATGTTTCAATAAATTTTGTAAAAAAAATTAACTTTTTATACTTGTAAAAAAAAAAATTAAGTATGTATTAATAATAATTTTCTATAAGAAAAAATTATGAGAAATTACTTGTATTGTTTTATTACATTTTCAAAGTTTTTACTAGTAAACAAAATTTTCATCTTACCTAAATGAAATAATAAATAATTTGAAAATTATGTCATATCACTTGTCAGTAAAAATGATAAATATTCATTTGATTATTTGGTAAACATTTGCAATCTCTAAGTTTATTTATTATATAAGTATATAACATCAGTCACTAAATTTAAAAAAAAGTTACGCGGATACTTTCTAGATACTGATTTTCTATATGATAATGAAGTTCATCGCATAATCAACAATATATATATTTATCTATTATACAACATTAATTTAGAAGTTAATAAAAAAATAAAACTTATCAATTATTTCAGAATTTCTTAACAAAGATGAGGTATCCATATTGGGCTCAACTTATAATTTGGGCGATCACAGCTGTATGTCTTCTTTTAATATTGGCGTTCTGCATGGTGGATAGTCGACAAAATCTGACTTTCAAATTTTTAGAATCTCTGAATAAAGCAAAAAAAACTACTAGTGAACATATTAAGCGATCAGACTCAGGATTGTCTGGAAAAGGAATCATCACGGAAATTGATGTAAGTATATAAGTACACATGATAATACATATCAAGGTTTTTTATATTTATAATTTTTTTTTAATCATGAAATTTCAATAATTAACAATGTTAAATAATACCTATAAAGTTGGTTAAATTAGATAAATTTAAAGTCTGAGATAAGAAATGTAAAACAAATAACAATATATACTTTTTATGCCTGTTTCGTATAATAGGTATACCTATAATGAAGCAAAATAAATTATAAATATAGATACAATACTCGTATGTTGTATCTATATTAATCCCCGAGCCAAAAATTGTTATTTATTTTATTCCTAATATTCTAACTGTATACTGGAACTTACAAATAATTCATTTCATGAAATACATTTATACATCGTATGTGTATATTTTTTTTAGTTTGACGATTGTCATGATTCAGAAATTGATGAAGAGCTAGATACTTCAATAGCCCAAGCTCCAGTACGTATGTATAAAATTGAGGTTCTTGACTCTTGGAAATCTGCGAGAGGTCAAGTTTATCTTTAATATGGGACTTAATACATGTCATGAAATTATACTTATGTTATAATATTTTATAATTTATATGTATAGTAAAATTTATACTATGATTATATTATTATGTATCGATGTGATTTAAACTTCTTATACATTAATATAAATAGCTATAAATCTAAATTGAAATTAAATTTTTTTACGCATAGGCATAATATACATAGTATCTAGTAGATACTATCTATTTATAGTGAATTCAATATCAATATCATTTGTTTTCCAAAATTGTTTAAAGAGCTATTCATGGTTTATCTTGATGTAATATATATACCTAATATGAATAAAAATACGTAAAATTCCTATTAACACAGTAGGAAAAAGGTCAAATTGCTTATATCAAATTGTTTTAGCAGTAGTTCTATGAAAATAATATTTGTAACTGTGACTACATTTTTTTATATACTTACATTTTTAAACAAACGTATTGATATGACATAACATAATTGGAGTACCTGTGACCTTCCAACTATCAGCAAAAATAGACCAATAATTTACGTAAAAGAAAATGTATCGCTCACTTAAATTTGATATTAACTGTTATATAATATGCTCTAATGACTTCAAAATGAGGAAAATCATGTAAGCGTTGTGAATAGAACATTTTTAAAATAAATAAAGGTAATAGGAATTAAAAACTAACTTAATAGTAATAACATGAAAGTTTTATTTATACATAATATAACATAATATATTATAATTATTTACTAGACATTCAATATTTTCTTGAGTAATTTATTTTGTATACGATTTAAAGATTGTTATTAAAAGTAGAAGATTTCCATGTACATTTTAAGATTACATTTAATTATGCAAAGTTCACATTTAGAATATAATAATTATTATACTGATCACAGTAAAATTTTACATGGCATGTTTATATTTTTAAATTCACTTTGAAATCACTAATTTTCATAGTCAGAATAATAAAATAATATAATATATTTATATTAATAACAAACAGTGCTCAATACATTAGATTTTCAAATTTTATAAATTCATAAACTTGAATTTATTAGATTACAATTTTCATTAATTAACATTAATTGGGGCTTAGTAAAAAATTCATTAAAAAAAAAGTGTTGTGTTGTATTACGTATTACTTGATATAATTTGTTCCTAGCTCAAATGCATAATTTATGCTAATACCTAAGATATTAATATATTTATTTTTACTTGTGTATAATTTAATGTGAAAAACCTTATGGTGCCCATATATCTTTAATACTTTTTTTTTAAATATTGTACACATATCACATTATAATATAACATATTATTCAAAATTATTAAATATATAATAACTTATTACACTATAGTTATAAAATATCAAGAATGTTGTATGATATTATATTATTCTCTTAATATTAACATAATTAAATTTACGCCGTCCATTGGCTATAATAAAAAACTATTGTACACATTCCATTTATTGACTAAATATTTGTTTTTAATTGTATTTTTTTTTTATGTTTGTTGAACTAAAATTTATTTAGTCATACAGTCACATATAGATTGTTTAGAATTTACTCAATCAAAAATGTTTGTTTCTTGGTATATAAAAAATTCTAAATTATATTTGCAATTTAGAAACCTATATTTATATGAAAATAATGTTTTTAAGTTTGGAGTACATATTATATATTGTGTTAAATGTTAATTTACCATATAATAAAGTTATTGACATCCAAATCCAAATAATAAATTTTTTTTATTTATGTGTGCTTAATAATCTTCATAACTATATAAATTTATTCTTATAATATAATATGTACCTATATCTATAAATAAAAATTAATTATGGTTTATGAATATTGATTACCACATTACCGAACTTTATTCAGATTATTATTGAAAATTAATAAATATTGTCAATAAGTCACCAATACACGCACAGTAATTCACAATTGTAAACATCTTGAAATTGCATACCATAAAACAGGTGCATAAAAAATATTTTAACTAGTATTGAGTTTAAAATATGAATTTAATCCAATATTGGATAAGCTTTGTTAAAAACCACTGAAACGTTAGTTAGCTACCTTGATATTGATAATCGTGATTAATAAATGCCATAATATAATAATTATTATTATGTCCCTATACATATATTCGTTATTCTATGAGTATCTAAGCACATAAACTTATAATATAATAAGGTAAATGGTAAGTTATAAGTGGTCATAAAATTTAAAATTGGTTATTCATATTAGATAAGTATAAATGTGTGACTTAAATTTTTACCTATGTAGATATATTAAAAAAAAATGAATTATTATCTTGAACGTAAAATAAAAATTTAAATAAAATAATATAGTACATTTTAAAAAACTCAGTAAATATTTATAAAAACAATTAAATTATAATAAATATATTATAAACTATTATTTTAACACTCTATATTGTTTATTAAGAATAGCTATTTACACGACCAAGATTATCTATTATCGATTCCGTTAATAGCATCAATCACAGATTTCTATACCTAATACTTCTAGTCTGCGGCATCAATTTTATAAGTTTTTTCTGTTAAATACCTATATTAAAATGACTTTAAAAATAAACTACAATATAAGTATATTATATGCAATATATTTTTTTTAGATATATGTTTATTTTTTAGATTCATATATATATATATTATTATATTTTCTAAAATATTACAGATTATTACATTATTTAAAAATAAAATTATGCGCGAAGTTATCGAAAAATAATAAATTTTCTTTTCAGATGTACATATTAAATATGTGCTATAATATAATATTACCTATATAAATTATTATCGCAAAATAATATGATGTACAAGATGATTCATCAAGCATGCCCATCCTTATTTTTCCCTTTAATAAATAAATAATTCAAAATCTAATTTATGTACATTTTTTTCTTTTAATAAATAAATAATTCAAATTTGATTTATGTACTTTTTTTCCTTTAATAAATAATAATTCAAAATCTGATTATGTTGTTTTTTTTATTTGTATATAAAATATACATATAATAAAATAGTAAGAAATCACATTTCTAAATATATACATTTTAATGTTATTTAAGAAATGTTCTATTGTAATACAAATTATTTTTTTTCTAATGATAGCTATATCATAATCAACCTTTTAAATCCTGATCGGAACGATAAATGCATTGGTTCTATAATAAAGACTATTTTAATACGAGGAGTAAGAATTCGTCAATTATAAAAATACAGTTTTCGAAAATAAACAACTTTTTATTTTATAATTCAAAAATTAATTATTTATAAAAACTTAAAACTATTCCCAAATATTTATATTATAACTTAACACGATATAATTTCAAAATATTTTGGCTTTTATTGTGTTATTTATATATTATATATGATACATCTATAATTCCAACTTGAGTTTTTTTTTAATTTCTTTTTAATTTGTATATAATAACATGTTTGTAGTAAACATACTTAAAAAATACTAGGAATCTCATAATTCATCATCTAAGTACTGAAAAATATTAAAAATCATGAACAAATTTTTTTTAAGCGTTATCTTAATTTCAAATATTGATAAATTTTGTTAAAATCACGAAAATTTGAGTATATTTTGTAATTTATATAAGGATTCATAACATTTTAATACGAGGAATAAAAAAAAAAAATGGTAAAGAATTCTTTATAGTTTTTTATTGCGGATATATAAAAAAGTATTATAAATATTAAACTAAATTCATGTTTTACGAATGATTAAAATTCAAATTTGACGATATTAGAAATATTCAAACATTTTAAATTCATAACAACGATTTATCCTGTAACAAATGTTGTTATTTTATTATTAAATTATTATTCAATAAGCATTATTCGTAGAAACCTGACACATTCTGCAATACTGCTTAAGTTTTTATTTTTTTTACACAATGAAACTTTTAAAATATTTAGACTAATTTAAAAATAATTTTAGGCATTTGTATTTTTAATTTTTTTTTAGTTTGTTTATTACCACCCCGACTCTGAGCAGTATAAAATTTAACACTTATTTACGGATGTCAGTTGTATTGTCTAAAATGTTAATATTTACGAGTACGATCAATACCTATTTCTTATTTAGTATATAATTCGGTATTTTACATTAGGTTAGTAAATAATACTTGGCCATATTATGATATATTTATGGAAAAAAGGTAAATGCTCATCAGAATATTTAAAATTGTATTTTATTACATTATCATCAAATAAATACCTTAGTTGTCGAACTGTCACTATATTGTAGTTTTGTGTAGTAAGTAGTTTCAATTGCATAACTGTTATACAAACGTTGTAACTTATTTTAAAATATTATTAAATTAAATTTTAATTTGTTATAAAATTCCACAATACTTTTATTACAAAAACATTTCTTCAAAACAAATATAATATGTGATATTTAAAAGAATGTCAACACAATATTTGTTTTATTTTTTAGACCCCCTTGAAACAAAGGAAAAATGCATTCACAAAAATCGTTTTTTATAACTTTTTATAAATAGTATAAGTAAAATCATCTGTGTTACAATTATGAACAATAATATGTTTGACTTATATTTTTCAGTTTTATATTTCTGTTTTAAAAATAAAAAATAAATTATTTTGTATGAATGCGTTTTGACTATGTTATGCCTACACCAAAGAATGTAAATAAATGGTGCACTGAGGTTTTCTTCAGGAAATCTTATTTTGTTATGTTTATTTAGGTATAATTATGAAATACAATTTCTATGCTGTGTTTTTGTCAAATTTAAAATAAATATTATCGTTATTTAATTTTATTTGAAAGTTTTATGAATAGTAGTTAGTGGAAAAAATAAGAAGTAGACAAGTGGGTATTGCTCGCCTGTTTATTATTAGGTGTCGATTGAATCACTGTATTAGGTATGTTAAATTTGAGTTTAATAATGCTCCATTATATACGAAAAACGATTTTAAGTAGAGATGATCTTTCAACCTATATCATTTAGTACGTATATTATTTCATGATCATTTTGAGAATTATACCATATGGTCCATATGTTTATATAAAATGATAATATAAATACTTGGTAAAGATTTTAAATGTATTTGCTT